TCACCGTATAACATGCTGTCATTTGCATGTGTCACAGTATAGAATGCTGCTGTTTGCATGCGTCACCGTATAACATGCTGTCGTTTGCATGTGTCACAAGTGTTGCATGCTGCTGTTTGATGCTGCTGTTTGCATGTATCACAGTACAACATACTGCTGTTTCCATATGTCGCAGTGTTGCATGCTGTTGTTTGCATGTGTCGCAGTATAACATGCTGTTGTTTGCATGTGTCACAGTGTAGCATGCTGTTGTTTGCATGTGTCACAGTGCAGTGTGCTGTTGTTTACATGTGTCACAGTATCACATGCTGTTGTTTGCATGTGTCACCATATAACATGCTGTTGTTCACATGTGTCACAATGTAGCATGCTGTTGTTTGCATGTATCACAGTGTAGCATGCTGTTGTTGGCATGTATCACAGTGTAGCATGCTGTTGTTTGCACGTGTCACAATGTAGCATGCTGTTATTTGCATACATCGCAGTGTAGCATGCTGTTGTTTGTATGTTTAGCAGTTCAGGCTGCTTTTGTTCACGTGTAACAGTGTAGCATGCTGTTGTTCATATGTCACGCTTTAGCTTGCTGTTGTTCAGTCACACATTCGTAGATTGTTGTTCATTTGACTCAGTTCAAACTGATGTTGATCGCGTGTCACATTGGTGGATTGTTATTCATTTGACACAGCTTAGACCGATGTTGTTCACGTGTAACAGTGTAGCATTTTGTTTCTCGTATGTCACACCTTAGCTTGCTGTTGTTCATATGACACATTTTAGCTTACTGTTGTTCATTCTCACATTCGCGGACTGCTGTTCGCATGTGTCACAGTGTAGACTGATGCCGTCAGGATGTGCTCATGCGTCAGGATATCGCCCGATGTCGTCCAACCGTCACAGTCACAAGCTATTCTTTGTGTCACGGGTTTTCGTGCCTTAGCGACAGGCATGTGAATCGCTACAGCCTCTCAGAGACTAGGGCCCAACTCTTCGTCTGCCAGCGCTTCTGGGTAACAGCTCGTCGTTCCGGGTGTCCATCCACGGCAGCAGTATCGGTTTCGTCCGGTTCCACATGACCTTACGGTGACCCTGCAATCCTCCGCCTCTAGACCAACGCCACTGCAAGGAAAATGGGAAAGTCCATGCGAGTCGATCGGGGCATTAATTAAATTACTTTATGCGAAAGTACTGAAATATTCACAGTCATTGATATCGACGAAAACTTCTATGTGAAAATTATACTATATTTATAGCTTCGTATACATATATATATATATATCAGGGGTTAATAATGACAAATTTGTCATGAGAGAGAGAGAGAGAGAGAGAGAGATAGATAGATAGATAGATAGATAGATAGATAGATAGAGAGAGAGAGAGAGAGAGAGAGAGAGAGAGAGAGAGATAGATAGATAGATAGATAGATAGATAGATAGATAGATAGATAGATAGATAGATAGATAGATAGATAGATAGATAGAAGAGTCAGGATGAGATAGATAGATAGATAGATAGATAGATAGATAGATAGTTAGAGAGATAGATAGATAGAGAGAGAGAGACCGCGCGCGGGAGAGGAAAAAGACGCACATACGCACACGCGCGCACGCACACATACCTGCATAGACCAGCATGGCATCGCCGTGACCTTGACCTCCGGCTGCAGCCGCACGTGCGAGCACACGTTGACCACTCTGACCACTGCGTCCATCCGTCGTCCTCGCTGCCGCCGCCATTGCCATCGTCATCATCGTCGGTCGTGCGCACCTGCTGTAGATCCGTCATCACACTGACCTCCCCGTCGAGGTCTTCCGGTCTATCGGTCGCGTAGGGCGCGCCACCGTCGCCGAGGGCGTTTCCTTCTCGCTCACGCTCGCCGTACGTCGGCTGGCGACGTGCGACGTAGCCTAGCATCGTCGTTAGCAGGTGGCTCTGCCTGGTGGCGGCCGGCAGCCACGACGTCGTTGTCGACGGCGGCGGCGCTAGTGTCGTCGTCGTCGTGACGTACTCACGCATGCGTCCTGAAGCCGCGCCGAATAGCGACGTCGTCGTCGTGCTTACTGATGACGTCACTGCCGTCTCGACCCGTGATTGGCTAGCCGTCACCGCTGGCGCTGCCGACGTATTGGCCGCCATTGCATACGTGCTATGCGTCATCGGCGGCTGTGACGTCACTGAAGCGTCCGCGATAGCATTTGCACTGTTAGATCCCGTGCCGCTACTATCATCACCGCTATCATCATTAATGCCATTATTAATGTTATTATAGTAGGTATTCGATGGCGGTCGCTGGCTGTAGGGTCGTGAAAGCAGGGCAGTGGTAGTGCGAGTGTTCGGGGGCAGGGTGGAGGGAGGCGTTGATGTAGAGCCGGTAGTGTACCTGCTCTCTAGCGCGTCTCTGTACGATAGCGCCACGGCAGCCGGCACTGGCTTAGTCTTCGTCTCGTTGCGAGAGTAACCAGCTACGTCACGGCTACTCCACGTGGTGGTGCCGCTGCTACTACTGTTGTTGTTGATGCTGTTATTGCTGCTACTGCTGCTGCTACTACTGCTCCCGTACATGTCACGTGCACGCTCCGTCGTCTGCCGCCCACGCTCCGCGAGATCTCGCAAGCTGACGCCCCCTGGGGGCGGGGTGTAGCTGGCCGTGCTGGCGCTGGTGGCGGACGGGAGCCTGCTGGGCGGCGTGGACGCATGCGCGGTGACCTTGAAAGGGGGCGCTTTTTTCGCGGGGGATTTCGTCACGGGCTTCCTCCGCTGCGCGATCGTGCGGTAGTTCGCCGGGATCAGGTCGCCGACGGGAGACACCGGGACGTAATCGGTCGAGAACGACGACGGCGTCGTTGACCGCGGGGTCAGTTCGATCCTCGGTCGCGTCTGCGCGGTAGAGAGAGCAGAAACCGATGACGTCACGAGCGATGCTGTCGTCGTGGTGACCGTAGCAGCAGCGGAAGTCGTCAGTAGAGGAGTTTCCGGAGTTCTGTCCACGCCCGATGTTGACGTTGGCAGCGGTGTCATCGTTGTCGTCGTTTTTGTTGTGGTTAGTGCGGCTGCTGTTGTCGTCGCTGCTGTCGTTTGTAGCGATGACGATGTCATCGCTATCGTTGTCGGTTTCGGAGTCGTTGTTCGTGGCGCCAACGTTGACGATGAAGTTATCACCGTCATCATCATCGTCGTCGGTGATCTGATCGTCTGCGTGGTGCGGGATGTTGTCGTCGTTGGTGACGTCGATGGTGTTGTCGTGGTCGTCGGCGTCGTACTCGCTGGTTTATGATAGCCGCCAACGTCGTTAAACGGTGCTTCGGTGGCGCCACCTGCGTTGTCCGACTGGCGCTGGGTGTCCGTCACTATATTGTTACTCTCACAGAAAACTGCAACAAGGAGAACGACAAGGTGCCTATATAATAGTATAGTTGTCTGCAACGTGGTGCGAGCAAGTGACTACTTACTGTGCTAGAGACAGATCAAAAATTTATGTCAATAAATATACATAGATATAGATATATATTATACTATACTATGCTATGCTATGTTATGCTATGCTATGCTATACCATGCCATGCCATGCCATGCCATGCCATACCATACCATACCATACCTATACCATACCATACATCCATACCATACCATACCATACCATCATACATACCAAACATACCAATACCATACCATACCATACATACATACATACATACATACCATACGCATACATACCATATCAATACCATACCAATACCATACCATACCCATACCAATACCAATACCAAATCATACATACCATACGCTACTATTGTCACACGCATATTGTAAGATTGCTTGATATATATGTATATATAAGAAAACGAAAGAGAGGAGAGATAGTGAAGTGAGAGAGAGAGAGAGAGAGAGAGAGAGAGCGAGAGAGAGAGAGAGAGAGAGAAAGTAAAGACACACACACGACACACAACAACACGACACAAGACACAAACACGCCGCACGCACCACACACACACACACACACACACACACACACACACACACGCGCACACACACCACCAGAAATAGAGGTGTCAAGAGATATGAAAATAGAGGGGGTGAATGAAAAGAATAATCGTCTGCACTCAGTCCAATCTCAAATCGAATATCAATGTAAGCGCTACATTAGCGCCAGACGGCAATAGCACAACAAGGCACTCTGTACAACGTAGCTTAATTCCACACTCGATCACTAGTCCCTATCGATAATCATCACGAGTACTAGTCAAACTCATTTAGGGTTTTTCGCGAAAAAATGCACCGTCATCGTTGCAGTGACTTACAAACTGCAAACCCAACCTGCTGTCATCGCTACCTTTATCCGTGGTTACCTCCACAAACGAGAAAGTAAAATATATATGTATATATAAAAAATAAAATTCCTGCGCGAGTTAACGGTCGGGGAGGGTCACAGCGGTAAATACATATCGCTGTACCTTGAACAATACAAGATATACTCTCTATTGATAGATGTTGTATTAGATTGATATAGATGTCTGTAATATTTCTATGGGCTGTACTTTGAAAGTCGCTGGAAGTGATTCCGTAAGATGTCTGCTGCGCATCATCATCAGCAGTCTGGTTTGGACTTCCGTCACAAGACCTGCTCCCGCGTGTTGCGACCGCCAAATTACAGGCAACGGTATTTATATATATATTATAATATATATATATTATATAATATATATAATATATATATAATAGTATACTTCAATACATCAGCATATGCACGCCCCCCCCACAACATCACATGACACTCAAACACGCAACATGACACACACACACAACACACACACACACACACACACACACACACACACACACATACACGCACACACACACACACACACACACACACACACACACACACACACACACACACAACAATACACACACGCGCGCGCGTAAATAAAATAAATAAATATATATATATATAAATATAATAATCGTGGCCCATATAGAAAATATCAATTACTGGCATAATACCAATATATCATATATATCAGTAAGAAGAGCAGACGAACAATGTTGATGGCGTCTACTTGGGCCCTGTCTCTGCCAGATCTGCCTGATCATAGCGGAATTCCATGTAGTCGGGGACAGGCAGGTTGGCGTGTCCGTACCACGCTGGTACTCAGCTCGTGCCAATACGTAATCGTTAATGTGAGGCGTTCCTTTGCGCCTGAGAAAATAAATGGCATTTAGTGTGATATCAACATTGCGTAAGCTAAGTAAGACCGACCGTAAAACAAGAATGAGACAAGCGCCAATTAACCAAGATGGCTCAAGTGGGCTCACCTCAGGGCTGCACAGCGGGATCGGGAATCCCTAACGTCAAGGGGAGAGATGCATAAGGTTTATCACAAGTGAGGGATCTAAAAATCGCAACCCATCAAAGCGCTCCTTTGTTCTAGTTTATGCCTGGTAAGGAGAACGGGAGGTAGCACCCGAGGTAAGATTAGAGTTGACTAAGGCTAGACGCACAGAGCATTGCATGAATGTAAGTAAGCTGTGTAGTCATTGCTCCTAACGTCGCATTATTATATAAGTAAAGAAGAGTTTATCAGGCATAGCAGTTTTCCACTATGTGAAGCATATAAGCGAGATATTTTGGTAGGCAAACGCAATACACCGGTACAGACGACCCGGATCCGCCCGACTAGTAATTTATAAACATGCCGGGAAAGCAGAGACTGGACGCGTCTCTGCGGGACTCAGATCCACTGCATGCCACTACCCCGCGTCAGTCGAGAGAGGCGTATTACAGTATGAGTGAATTGAGCTGCAAAATGGATAGCGATGTTATCGGTTAGAGGAAAGTTATGCATATTGATACCGCCAGAGCGATTTAAGACGATATTAGGAGATCGCCGCTGTGAGTAGAGACCTTGTCACGTAAAGCGATAACTGCAGAGTAGTCGTCATCAGATATTGTGTTGTTATCGCTCACGAGGCTACGGACGTTTGATGTAGATTGATAAGAGGTATGAGTAGGGGGTGCGGAAGGTAGGACTGGGGGGAAGGGGGGAGCTGAAACGGGGAGAAGAGGCGAAAGAGGGGACAAAGGTAGAGGAGGAAGGAAGAAGATGATAAAGCAAAAACATAAGCACATTTATTATCAAAGTGAAAATGAACATAATGCAATATTATCTATTATTAGTGTTATTATATCATAGATTAATCTATTATTATCACTCCCTGTTATTATGTAGTCCAGGCAATGCATGGTTCCCCTATATACCGCGAGCAAAATACGCGGGTGATTGACATCTAAGTGTGAGCTGAGCGACTAAGTAAGGGAGACTGGGAGAGGTTAAGGACACGGAGTGCAGACAGGCGGCGAGCACACGGAACAGACGCGGACACGAGCGGCGAGAATAGAAACGAGGCAAGCGCGTAGCATAGATAGAGCGTAAGCATGCGAGCAAGTGCGAGCGGAAGAGACATATGTACAAACCATCGAAGAACCAGACCGCGGGGATGGACAGGACAGCACATGGAAGGGGGGCAGCATACACGTGTATACGCTCAGAACACGCACACGCAACGCATACGCGCACGCACACACACACACACACACACAACACACGCACAACACACAACATCACACACAACACACACACAACACACACACACACACATGCACACCGCAGCGCCAGCAGGCTCCCCCTCACACCACATACGGCATCGCGAGCACTTACACACGCACATACACACGCACACACTCACATACGTAATACACACCGCACACACACATACACAGACCACGCGCCCCACGCCACAACACGCACCACACGATACACACAATAACACATACACAGCACACACACGAACGCAACCGCACGCACGACGGCACGCACGCAAACACACACGCAACACACACATGGCAAGCATTCACGCCCACACACACACTTAACACACACATACGCACGCAGACTACTTGAGAAGACCATTAAGAGTCACAACGATGTCGATAAACATAATTGGCTTCAAGTAAAATTCAAATGCGCGCACATTCAATTACGAAGACGAGATGCTGAAGAGAGATTCAATCAATGTCGCGTGACCGTGCCATAAAGGGATATACGAGAGGCGAGACATAATCCTGTCGCTTATTCTTCGTGTATAGAAGAGCTCAGCATAACAACCTACCGTATCTTCGTTAACGGAAAAGGGTCGGTTGGTCGTATCAGGTAATACAGGATATGTATCCCGAGTACGTATAAGGTATACACAAGGTACCAGACTGTATCTTCTCAGCATATATGTACTCCGTGTTTACATAACGTATCTACGCCGAGATGGAGATCGAATGAAGACGGTCAGGAGGAGAAGTAGGGCAGAAGGAGGAGGAGGAGGAAAGGAAGGAGAAGAGAGGGGAAAGGTGATGAGTAGGGGAGGAGGAGGAGGGGAGAAGGAAGAGGAGGGAGGAGGGAGGAGGGAAGAGGAGAGCGGAGAAGGTGATGGAGAATCGAATACGGGAAAAAG